ACGTTAATCGATTGATTTTTTTATATGCATGTGACAACTTTTAGCAAATCTTACCTTATTTGTCAACAGTCTATGGAATGGCCCCGTTTCTCATGACAATCTATAGGGAAGACCTATATGGCATATAGCAGTGGGCAAATAACATAGTAGGAAGTAGAAAATAGAAAACTATACAACAACACAGAGGATTCAAAATTTTTCTGTTTTCTATACAACAACATAGAGGATTTAAAGTTTTTTTTTTTATAATAATAATAAAAAAAAAACAAAACAAAATTACGTATAGAACAAATAATTCTATCCTTAAATCATCGATCTTGAAAATCATGGATCGTAATTCAAAAATCGATCTTCAATTAAATCGAATCAATTTCGTCAACCCTACTGCGGAATAATCAAGCAATTTATAGTCCCTAACGGAGTCCTGGATTTATTAGTATAAATCCTTATAGCTTTACTAATGTTGTACAATATATGAAAATTCTTTTGTTATTTCTTGGTGCCTTACTTATTTGGCATTCACGCAGTATTTGATAATAAATGTACAAATCCAAATATCTCTATACCTTAGTGGTATACCACAGTAGTTTAATACACTTCCTCACCCTTCCATGACTATGGGTTTTATCTCCGCAAAATATAAACAGTTATAATTACACGAATACTGGGGGGTAAAGGATTGTTAATAATGGGGATCTAATAGCCCAATTCCTAGCAACATACCCTAATAAATAAACCTTCGCGTAGTTTCCTCTGTAAACTATCTTAGTTAATTCTTGTGGAATTCGCCACGACAGGCTAACTGACCTGTTTTCATTTTCACTTATCATCCTTTACTGATGCTTCACCAGCGTGGCTGGTGGCGTGGCGAAGGCAGGGTTATTATTCCATTAACATCCATAAAAGGAATTGCACGACTTATATGTTATTTTATTGAGGCATTATTTATATTTTCTTTATGGCATAAATATGTATATTTAGTAACGCATATATTGTCAAAATGTATTTTAGTATAATATAATTAAATTCTATATACTACATAAATATTTTAGTTGCTGCTATGTGAAATATTCAGGCTTATTCATTTGTAATGATACTATCATTACATACATATATTAAATAGTCACGAGTCAGGCTCGTGCTTCCATCATAGTTGCTCATGACTAAGGATCACGAATTGATTCCGAAACTAGGCGAGCTTTTTCGATCTAATTATATGTAAGTCAAACCGGTAGTATTATATTAAAATATGTCAAATAGTTGGCTTAAATTTATTGTTTAAATAATGTCGAATCCTGCCTATTCATGAAAAGTAAAAAATTAGAAAAGTCAAAACTTTGATGTTTTGTAAGAACACATTATATATTACATTAATAATTAACGGTTTAAGCTCGACTAATTGCGGGATCAAGTCGGCACCTTTAAACATGCATTTAAATGACAAAATATTGCCTCTTAAAAGAACAATCCTTTAAATTCTTTGTCTATCGACTTGCAAAACAGTATTACTGTCAAAAATATAAAATATAAACTAAGAGCATATTTTCAGTCCAACCTTGCTTTTCAGTAGAATATTAATGTCAATACTTATTATTTGAGAAAGAAATGTAAAGTGCCATACACAAGCCCAAGAGGTTTAAGTGGTATTAAAAAATCTTAAGTTTTTGAAGGTATTTGCATGATTGAATAAAAAAAAAAAACGAAAAATGACTTCTTTTAGTAGATGTTCTGACAGAATTACATTTATTATGAAGACTTTTGTTTTAAAAAACAAAAGGATTATTTGAGAGCCGTACCCAGAGCACTCAGATGAAGCAAGCCAATTTGGAAAAGTTCATTTCTCGCCCGAACGAGAGTAGAAATGAGGTCCTGATCATTTACAGCAGTGGTGCTCAAAGTGGTTATCGCCTCCAAAGAGCTGACGACAAGTCAGCAAAAAAAAAAAATAGAGCATTTATATGAAAATATGTGTTGATAGTGTAATTAATAGTGATTATAATGTAAAAACCAGAACAACAGAGAGAGACTTTGAACAAAAGCCGTGTGCTCGAATGCCTCTGTCATGATAGGACAGTGAAATTTGAGGGTGTGGAGGTAAAACACCAACATCATCATCATCATATCTCATACTGGCAAAACCCCCTAAGGGAGAGACTTATATTCAGCAGTGGACAGTTAAAGACTAATATGATGATACATTTACGAAAAGCAGTTAATTTGGTTTAAAATGAAAACTTCATTACACTTAGAAATTTAGTTCATAAGTGGGTATTACTTATACACATTAATTATCGAAAAGACATTTTAGTGTTTGCTCAGAACCATGTGGTCACATGTTGAAATCCTATAAAAAACTGTTCCACGAAATACGAGTAGTTTGGGAACCTCTGAACTTTTACAGCGTGTCTTATAATCAAGTTAGACAGTTGTGTTCGTCTTGGAAAAACTAACTTCGATATAATCAAGTAGATATAACTGCACGGTTCGACAGTTTAGAAATATACTGCTTTGAAAGCGTAAAGATCACATTGAATGAGATTATCTGAATAATTTGTATCAATATAACCGATTATGTCATGATTTATAACGATTTAAATCGAATGGAAACTATCTAGCTATAATCGAATATATTTACAATGTCAATTCGAAATAAAGGACTTTCGTATGAAATCTATTTTTTTATGATACTTAGAATGGCAATCTAGCTGACGGTTCGCCTAATTAAATGCAAAAACTGCCATCTATAGAAATGACGTCGTCTCAGCATAGAATATGCATCCCTTTCCTTCCCGTGGGTATCGTAAGAAGCGATTAAGGAAATTAATGTTATTAATTTAGTTAGGCTTTCATGATGTTTTAAAAGGAACAACAATGTCCCTTTTAAAACATCATGAAAGCCTATCTTGCCAACCCGCCTGCCAAGCGTGGCAACTACTGGCAACACCCCACTTATAGTCCTATATCCAGCACTGGATAGTTAACGTTTGATATAGTAAAAAAAATATAGACATGAACAGTACTATGAACATCACGGTATTAACTATAATGCCTATAATGCTATGTTATAATATATGCTAACTTTATACTTATATAATTCACTTCATGTAATGTCATCCCTAAGAATTATAGTGCTATGCTCCCTTATCCTGTAATTTCATTATCACTTCACTTCAGAAATACAAGCGAGACAGCTATTCAGACGACTTATACAAAGTCTCTCTTTGGTAAATGATGTTTGTGGGTAGCTAATTTTGTAATAAACATGTGTTGTCAGACTAAATTCGACTTAAAATCTCAAATCAAAGGTTTTTTTTATTCAATTAATTTAGACATATCTCCTGGGTTGTCGAGTAGATTTCAATGTTTGGATACACACTTTATAAAATAAATTATGCACAGTTTATTACATACATTGTATCTATGGTAAACTGTTTCTGTTATATTGATTTACTTCGATGGAACTTAATTTTACTTTAACCAACTTAGAAAGGGTCTCTCAATTTGACTAAATTTGTTTATGGTTATGTCACGTGATTACATTATCAATTATAAAGTGAAATGTACTTATCTATAAACTAAAAAAAGTAATGCAAAATTAGTCGACAAGTCAAATTATTTGTCATAACAGCAATCAATATAGGTACTTATATTTAACTATCCAATCTGGAAATTATACAAAACTAACTATTACCCGCGACTTCGTTCCTGTGAGAGTATATTGCTTAACCAGTATAAACAGTAGCCTATTCTCCATTCATTCCAAATAGTATGTATGTATCAAATTTCAAGACGATTGATTGAGTTGTTACGGTGCCAAGAGGTAATAAGCATACAAACTCACTTTAACATATAAATGTTATAAAATATTTGTAGGGATTTTAGATTTAAATACTCAGTTTTAAGATATTTTAATTTTACCGCTTAATTTGTATCAAACTAATTAAAATACCTAAGTCTCAAATGTTTAATCTTTTTCTAACTTATCTAATTTAATTTTTGATTAAAATTATTTATAACAGAATAAGTGTAGATTTATCACGAAGAACTCTCATGGCAACACTGCTTTCGACTTACAGGATTACAAGTTCAAATCTGTAATTCAAATCAAAGTAAAATAGCATCGGGTCTAATTTTAATATGTATTCGAACTCCGTTTCATTAAATGAAACTTTACTCTTGGTTTAATTTAAAGGACATCGATACTATTCTAGAAGGGAAAAGAAACATCTTTTGAATTCGAAGTTATGGTGATGGTTATCTCTATATGTGTAATTCGATTTCCTAATTGGAACAAATATTTGGTTTCAAATTCTGCATCAATCAATAAACTACCAGAAATCATATTTCTACTACGTTATTTATCTATTTATGATATTTCTATGAAAAATGCTTAAACCTAAGTTTACTTGAATAAAAACATTTCTTTCTTTCTTTCTTCTTTCTTTAATAATAAAAAGATTTTACAATTATTTTAAATAATATTATATAGTCATTGTTATGAAGTTCCATCAAGAAGTCACAGCAAAACCACTGTTTTATAAGTCTATGACTTCAAAATCAGAATCAATCAGTAACTTATCCGACAAAATATTTATATGACTTCTTTAGTGTCAGTCAGTAAATTATCAGAGAAAAATATATCCATAATATTAATTTAGATAACAATCATTAAGTAATTATTAAGAAAAATGTATAATGGGATATATAGATATTTAAAAGTAAACAACTACCCCCTCATCCATAAAAACATCTCATCTCAAAAACTTAATTTAGCTATTGAACTGTTTTGAGTTCTTTTGTAGTTTGAAACCTTTCTTTTAAGTTAAATCGCCAATTTGAAAGAAAGTGACAAAATAGTGTAATAGTTAAAATCTGTAAAATCTTTTATTTTTTACGAATAAAGAGGTTAATGTTTAAAGTGATGATAAATACTTTATTTAAATATATAATTTTAATAAAAGCCATACTTCAATACTAACATTATTTTATTACAATTACAGATGTTTCGGATCCGAATCCGAAGAAATCGTCAAGCAAGGTTGAAGAGGAAATAGACGACAAAGGACATAAATTAGGTCTCAGTAAGTATTCACATATTCATATTTATTTATTTATTATTTTATCAATGATAATGATGATACCTTTTTGACTGATTTTAATGTATTTTTACATTATTAGTCATTGTTAACTTGTTTTCTATGAATGTTCATGTCTTATACGACGTTACTACATCCAGTCAAATGGACCGCTTATTTGCCATTATGAATAATATAAAAATTTTCTCTGCCTAAATAGATAGGAATCTAGAATTACCAATATTAATATACTATATAACAATATACTAATTGTAATTATAACAAAATAATATATTCAGCCTCAGAATAAATAATCAATTAGTAACAAATAAAATTACAACATTACAAATTACATCCCAAAGAGGGTTGACGACAGGCAGATGGCCAGTCGTAAAATAAGCCAAATCTTGTTGTAATATGGATAAAGAACATATTACGCCGACCCCATATAATAATTGGGATACGGGTAGGAAGAAGAAGTAACAAATAAAATTATTACTTATTTGAAATATACCTAGCTTATACATAGTTACTTCTATTTTATTGTAACTATATAAATAAGTAATAAATAAAATTACAACCTATTTGAAATATACCTAGCTTATACATATTTACTTCTATTTTACTGTAACTATATAAATAAGTAACAAATAAAATTACAACCTATTCGAAATATACCTCGCTTATATACATAGTTAGTTCTATTTTACTGTAACTATATAAACTTTATCTACATTACAATGTCTCTTAGAAGGATTTGAAAAAAACTTAACAGGTGATTTTTCGATATATTTTAACACTAGCTGACTGACACTGACAAAGGTTTTTATTGGCCCATTATATAACTTTCATAGACACAGAGCGAATTTTCTTGTAGATGCCGTTCACATATCAACATTATTTTAATATTTGAATTAAAGAAAATATACGATTAAAGGAGTTTTTCCTTCACTCTTTGTAATACACGTTTGTGCCTTTTAAAAGTCATTTCCACCGACTTCAAAAAAGGAGGTTGCTGGTTATTTGATTAGAATTATTTTATTTAATTCCGCTACCATTAGTATGCGTGTGACTGCCAACAATTGAAGTTTGACCGCCAGAAGTTCCACAATCTTCCAAATACATATACTAATGGTAACACACAAAACCTCAATAGAATAAGTCTGACAGCATTACCGGCTTTTTCCTTATCCAGTTACGAATTGGGGGTTTACAATGAGAGAATAATAAATATTAATAAGGGTACTGAACGTCAAGACAGCTGTCTAGCCGCTGTGATCCGTCACTGTCACTCCTTTCTTCACCTTGGAACCGTCATCTCATTAATATTATTATTGTCAAAGTTTGCCTGTATATATTTGTTACTTTATATAAACACGGAGGAGCAGATTCCTCCAAGAATACCGACGTCTGCATTATTTTAATAAAATCTCATGCCAAGATTTTCATTCACATTAATCTCGGAAGTCCGTGAACCAACTTTAAGGAAGTTTTGTAAATGTGTAATGTTACCATCAATTTACCAGAGGGCGACTTTGTACAAAAGTCGTTTGCTTGGGCACCTCTGTCTCATTCGTGTTTTTACCGTAAAGCTGTGTTTGCATGGCTGTGTTTCGGTTTGAAGAGTGGGATAAGGCAGTGAATTTACAGGGTACAGAGAAATAACACCTGAGTCCTCAGGAATGACAACGCATGGGAGGTATCATGGGCAAAACAGTAAACTTTGTATGTCCATGGTACTGCTTATGTCTATAGGCGACGGTTACCATTTTCCATCAGGTGGACCGTCAGCTTGATTGCAATTCTAAGTTGCATAAAAAAGAGAGAGGACATTTGTAATCGTAATGAGAAGAACGGATCCGGTAGTTAGCAAAATAATGTTCAGCGTATGTTACGTACATACGCCAAACGCTATTTTGCTAACTACCTTCAATCAGATTCTGATTTAAATAATTAGAGTTTTAACCAAACGTAACAATGAGCTGTCGTTGATGTGGTAGATTTAAGTGTAATGTCTAATACTACAATTTAGACTGTACTTAGATACATCATTCAGTCACGAATAGTGACTAACTTGCCAAAAGAACAAATTGCGAAAAAATAAAATTCTGTAACATACTGGCCAGTTATAATTTGTTTTAAAATGAAACATTCCTACAAATAAGAATATGAAAGTTCCAAATTATCAATTCCCTCTATTAAATATGGTATCACTTTTAATTCACATGCTGGAAGAGAGTTTTTTAGCGACTTTGAGGAGATCACGTTTTAATTCGTCAACAGATGTGAATTTAGTGTCATATTCTCAATTCATAACTCATTCACAATTTATATATTTACAGACCGGTCCTATAGAAATTTTATCAAAATCGGTTTAGTAGTTTCGTTGGTTTCGTCACAATTAAAGTCGATTTTTTTATGGAACACAATCTTAATTTATCTATTTATTTATACTTTATTGTATACACAAAACAATATAATAGTTAAGCAAATATAGAAAGGCGAGCTGAACTCAAAAAGAGTTTTCTTCCAGCAAACCCAAGGTGGAAAGAAGCATCAGTGTTAGATCGGTGTACAATATTATGACAATCTTCAAACTAAAAGAACTGAAAAATTTAAGTTTATACATAACATTTTTGCTCCTCATATATACTGTATTTCAATTGTGATGTAAATAAATTTTCATAATAATACAATTGATCAGTTCACATCCATCGCATGCTATCTCATTAATTCATTTCACTATTGATTTTTTACCTTAATTGGCATCAGTCGAATGCGTATGACGGACAGCGGAAATTTTGTATTTAATGAAGCATTGTTACCGTAAATAACTTCCGATTGTTCTAGATTAAAGATAAATGTGAGTATACGTGTTCAGCATTATGTTGTGAGTTTTATGAATTAATGAAAACTCTTTATTGTTCCCTTCAAAGATAAAGATTAACAATATGTCTCTCTTTTCATTTAAGAGTTCCCTCTTGTCGATGCAACTAATTCATGCATTTACTTCCAGCTAGTTCTATCCCAGGCTATATCTTTGACCTCCTTGTACGACATGACACCTACTGTTTCTTTTATCTGTAATAATATGTACACAAAAAAAAAATATCTTAATTTTTACCTACTAATATCTGTAATATTTATAAATAACAGATGGAAACTTTGTACAGAACTTATCTGCTTAGTTTCCACTGTCCTATTTCTTCCGTGAAACAATTGTGTTTGCATGGCTGTGTTTCGATTTCAAGGATGGGCATGGCAATGAAATTACAGGGTGCAGAGGTATAAAACCTTAGTTCTCAGAAATAGCAATGAATAAAGGATACAATAGGTAACGGTTATCACTTTTCATCACATAGACCGACAGTTTAATTGCCATTCTAAGTTCCTATATAATATATATAAAAAAAATTCTATTAATATATAAATGCAAAAGTGTGTAAGGACAGATGGATAACTGGATGTTTATTAGTCTTTCAAAATTCCTTTCTTATTGTTAATCTGCGTTATAAAAAGAATCCAGCTGCAAAATTTAAAGATTCTAGATTCAGCGATTAAATATGTCGTATATTAATAGGTCAAAATATGTTGATATGTAGGTTAGATAATAAACCAATCAATCAGCATCTTTATATATATATAAATTATGTCACTACTTCGTGTCATCCAGGAGTATGTTTTAAGAGCTGATCAAAGTGATTAAAGAATAGGAGCCATACGCCAGTTTTGAGAGAAAAATCCTAAAAATTAAAGCCTATACTAGGTCGCTTAGTTAAAATTTATTTCAGTAAAGAGAACAGCTTCTCACGACATAAAATTGAAATAGGACTAACACAACTCAACAACTTTTTCGATTAGAAAAAATATTGCGAACATCGGCTCGGAACTAACGACGCAAAGCGTAATCTACAATATTATAAAAAGTGAAAGTGAATTTGTTTATTTATTACTTATTTACTCCTTAATAGTTCAACCAATTGTCATGAAATTTGAACATACTCGTAATACAAATACGGTGTTTCGGATAGAAAACGATGTTTTCGATCAGGTATATTTTGTCTTAGTTAACGAATACATTCCAGTCACACAATCGACATTGGGGGTTAAAACTAGTAAAGTAATAAGTAAAATAATTTATTTATATAATTAACACTTTATTTTACCAATATTATAGGACTTATTATAGAATTTTCAATAAGCATAATGTAGCACAAAAAGCGGTCTTTATTACGAAGCAATCTCTTCCAGACAACCTTTGCGTAGAATAATGTGCTTATATTATACTATGCAATACAAATTTATATTGTAGATTCATTCGTAAATTATGCCTTCTGGTAGTACACAGTGGGTACAATATATCTTGGTAAATTAACAACCCAAAACCATGTATTACAATAATAACATTTGGCACGCACATACTATAGCCTTTGGCACAGAGAATAGGACATAATCTTAAATAGGCCTAATCAGTGTTTACTGCCATTAGAGAATTATTATATGTATACTACTACCTTAGATTATCTAGATAGAGTATCTCCATAGAAATATTTAGAAAAAAACAGATCAGAATTTTCATACAATTTTGCGTGATAAATAGTTATGAGCGATTACCTTTGCGACATCTATATTTATTTTGTCTTATAATGTCTGCATTTGTTAATGCATAAACATTCATTTTATTTGTTAAATAATACATCAAGATATAATTTATACGTAAGTGATGAACACTAATGAAAAAATTAGTCAGTTAATTTGACAATTAGCTGACAAAAAGTTGACCCGTTTTTGAGTCTCGATGCTCTATCTATATAATCTAAGACTACTACATACAGTGCTATTACTATTTATTAATTATTATTATTATTATTAAAAATAATAAAAATTGTTATGGGAAAAATTTCAAATAGTATAGATATAAATTTATTTATTTTTTAATGCATAATAAAATTTGTAAAAATTATTATATATTATTATTAGATATTGCAGTAGTGGATGATAGTTTA